ATGTATTCTTGAGTCTATAAGGTAACAATAATATAATAAGATAACTTTGTTTGAAATGGGTTTGGCTAAAATAAAATTTTTGTTTCTTCTATACTACTAGGTACTTATACTATATTGACTGGGTTAAATAGAATTGCATTTCTAAAAAGAGACTAAAATACAATTTTCATTTTCTAAAATTAGACTAAATGTCATCAGTTTTCGTCGACTAAAACTAGACTAAAATGTCATCAGTTTTCGTCGACTAAAACTAGACGAAAATAGTCGTGGATAATTCTGACTAAAATAAGACTAAAATGCTCGGACTTTTTTAGTTGACTAAAACTTGACTAGACTAAAAAGAGTATGAACGTGACTAAAACTAATAAAAACTAAAATGACAGCTTCACACAAAGACTAGACTAAAACTAAAATGAAAACAGGCCGCCAAAAACAACACTAGTAGTTAGATACCTAGTTTCAGTGAAATTCTAAAGAAGTCAGTCCTAAAATGCATTTCAACAAGCTAAGTAAAAATAAAATAAATACATGATGGCAACGTTGATAATAAACTTCATTTTCAGTCAATACGGATAAATATCAATAAAAATAGTTCAGTATAAATAAAAATCAACAATTTGGCTGTAAATTTGTGAGTGCTAAGCATTTTTACACAGTGTTAGCTTAGCAGCATGCTAACAAAAACTACTGAAATTGTTGTGTAGCGCTATTGCTATGGTGCACACACTACGTAAAAAGTTCTAACTGTTACTAACAAGATTCCATGGGAGTTAAGATGTTGTCTTAGAAGGCAACTATGTAGACAGAATTCAGCTCACTAGGTTTAGCATTAACAAACAGAGCTAAAGACTTAGCCTGTGCCTTAAATATTACTTAGCAAGAGTGAGACCCTCAGACAGTCTCATGTCTTTAGTAAACTGCAAGAGACCGGGGGGGAACGATTTGAAAGTAACCCTTCTCTAACCTCTTCCTGGCGCTCACCTATAATCCCGCCTCACATCTGTAGGTGGCAACCAGGGAGAAGCACATATCAAACACACATGAAGCACAGTGTGCAGCAAAAGACCATGATTAGTACTCCAAAGCATGTTTTTCATGACAGTCATCAAGCGGTGCCACACACACATCTCTTTTAAACCCACATATGCAACTGCTCGGCTAAGGCAATGAAAATAAAAACGTAAGCAGGTTACCTTCCCGACTGCTGTGCTCCTGTGCCAATCTAAAATGTCCTACAGTAGAAGCTCCTCTAAGAGAACGTTTCCGGCTATTGATTTCTCTGCTGAGAACGAGAGCTTAAAATATGTCTTGAACTGGCACGTAACTGTGTAAACAGTGGATCGGTGCCTAATTTTGCAGGCCTTGAAAGCGGGCTTTTCCTCCAGATCTTCTCTCTCAGCGCCTCTCCATCTGTGCCTTCTAAGCACCCGGCTGGAGGACGGCGAGATCAGGCTCATCAGTAAAGCCCTCATGGCCTTCAAAACGCTTCAGTGACCTGTTTCCTAAGGCATGGATCCTAAAACCCGAACCGCAGCCTTCGATAATGCTTTATCCCATGCCACCCTTTGTTTCCTTACGAAGATGAAAGAATCGCTCTCCTTTAAGAAAAAAAAAAAAAGAATACAAAATAAAATGGATATGAAAAGAAACGTTCACTTGTTCAGTTTCTCATT